ACAACAAGAAGCAAACCCATGCGAAGCTGCATCAACGTCGGCATATTCTGGCCTTCCACGAACATTACAAATGATGCTTTGGCAAGAGATGTCGCCAGCGGTACATATCCCTGGAACATGGTTTTGTTAGCCCAGTAAAAAAAGAAACTGGCTTTCACGTATGCTCTCATGTACCGTGACCCTTGTCTGTGTGGCCTTTTCCATGATTTTAGGTGCCAATAGCTTGACTGTTGAGCTGTAGGAATGATCAGGGGCAGCAGCGTGATCAGAGGCATTTGTCTCGTACTACACTCTCTGCTCTCTCATTTTCCTTTTGCAGTTGCACCCACAATTGAGGCAAAGAGTCTGTGTGGAGAAGCACACTGTAGGTCACTGGGGAAGCGTTAAGGTCGGGACCTTCATCAGTGCTTTCGCCATCCAAGATAGCGGGCAGAAATGTCTTGGTTCTCTGCGAGATTAGATGTTGATCTCGCAGCAGACTTGACTGCTTGTGCTAGAACGCAAAACTTCCTCCTGCCCTTGTGGATCGCCCTGTTTTGACAGAAAAGATTCAGTAAAATGCACCCAATTTTATTACTGCAATAATGCTCATAACATTAAGCAGCTTCATAAAGACTATTACACATACCTTGTTTTCCTTTCCCAGATGTTGATTTGGCTGGGGGTTTGCAGAGGTTGGCTTTCCGTCAGAAATGGATTGAGCAGACTGGTAAAAAAATCAACAACTTGCACACAGGTGCACAGGAGTGAGCTTGGTGAGTTGGGCGCGCTCCTCGATAGTTGAAAATGGCCTGTATAATGGTACCCTGTAGAAGCGTATGCACTTGGGCTAGTTGGTGATCCATGTTTGTGAGGGTAAAAGCGCTAAAAACGACGGACAAGTAAAAGAAACGTACAACACATAGCGCTTAATGGTACCCTTTTTTTTCTACCGCCAAAATAGCAAATACAAGTTCACCTGTCACGATCACGTCTACAGATATTTCTGGGTAGGTCCCCAGCTGTTAGAAATCCCAAATGAAAACACAGGATTAAAAGCTGCAACCTGCAAGAATTGCATTAAATTCCCCTTCAGACTCCTTTCTGTGGTGGATAGCGAAGGTAGAAAATGTTAGCCAGTCAGTTCCACATGAAAGTTTGTTTTGCTTGCTCACGTTACAAAGCTAGTCTTTGCGATTCAAATAAGATGCGAGAGGAGACAGAGTGTTCAAGCAAAAGCAGATGAGCAATGTCTGCTACACGCTTCCACATTTTGTGCAAACCCGCGATCTCCAGTTTGTAGCATTTTGCTCAATGGGCTTAACCTACCGTGAAAATTACTAGGATGCTGGAATGAATGTATGTGCTTCCTACTTGAGTGAATGTTTTGCGTCTTACGATTGCTTGCTTTTGTGAAAATTGAAAGAAACGTCAATGTCCCTTTGCAATTTTTTCGACACTGCCGTGCCTTAAAAGTAGCAGCACTTACCATCGCATTTTTACGGGATTGAAGTTTTTCCTTTGCAGTTTAGCTAACCAATGATGGCGCCGTTCTTTGTTTTTCTTTCGATTTGGGAATCGGTGCATCGACAGTGGCACCAAGCATGGAAATTCATAAGCGCGAGCAGGGGCATGTTCATTGCTCACAGCGCAAATCCAGGCCTGAATATCGCCACTGCAGATTTCACAGCCTACTATAGAACACGTCTTCCTTGCTGGACGTTTTTTACGTGTCTCATTGCGCTCGTCTATCACGCAAGCGAGGGAACCGAAGTTTCGAGGTGGTGAACCGAAGGCTACAATGACGGATGCGAGCAATAGTGAAGGTAGTCTATGGCAGCTCGGAGAGTGCGCCGACTGGTGGCAGGTCGACAGACTTATATAGACATTTATATAGACAACGAAGTTGAATGCTGTGTCATAAAATTTGCAGTTGATTTGAAATCATGTGTTTATCTTATACTACCGCACCAGAACCTTTGTTCGTTTGTGCCGGTCAAGAAAACCAAAACCATCCAGAAAAAATTAAACTAAACAACAAACTCGCGAAACCCGGTTAAAATCTGAGCGGAAGCCAGATGCAAAGCAAGACTGCAACCATACGAAGATGCGCTCGCACAGTACCGGGTGATTCAAGGAGACTGCAGGCTCTTTAAATCGACCGGAAAATTCGGTTTCCTAACCTATCTCGCTACGACTTTTTGCAGCGTTGCCCACAGATGGTGCATTTTTTTGTAAAATTTTCAAAGAGCGAACTTACCTGAGGAAAAAGTAAAAAAAGAAAAAGGCTTAGCTCCTATGGAAACGCAGCGACGCCATCAGTCTTCAAACAACACGGCGCCGTTTCGCACGGGAGACAAGAGATGGCGCAACAAACGCCGCCAATGAACGCGCATACGGCGCCGAGAGCAGGTCTTTTCGACTCAAAAGCGAAAACCGAGCCTTTTCAGGCTCGGTTTTCTGGTCGAAGTGGAGCTTTAAGACTAAAAGAGCTTGAAGCATCACACTGGTTACCACCAGGGAGTTTGCCACACTGGTAGTGCCATTTGTCAGAAAAGGCTGTTTAATGCACCTCTGTAGTGATTACAGTACACTGGACTTCGTTCTTGACACGGACAAGTACCTTCTGCCTCGACGAGTTTCAACACTTGCCGGTGGTCGCCACTTTTCAGATTCAAGATGACGTAGTAGATAACTGCAAGAAATTCATCACGTTGATCATGCACAAGGGCCTCTTCAACATGAATTGTTTGGAGAGGAATCTGCCAGCCATTTTTAAACACCTTATGGACTATATGCTGTGTTGTGATTCGGAGAGCCCACAAAGCATTAAAAAAAAGGTGAAGAAGCAGGGCCGAGGCGACCTGCTATAAAGATGCGGTCTCACATGCCGAAGCGGGGCGAGCATCGGCGAGCCCAAGGTGGGCACGCCCCGGAAGAGAAGATGTCGATCACCGTCAGGGTCCAAACTCATACTCATTTATTCAGGGGGAAGCAACCCGGGGCACGGGCCCGATGGGTGTACAATAGCGCCACCTGGCTACGGGGGTTGCTGTGGCAGTTTGTGGCGCCACCCAGTTAGTGTGGCAAGTGAGACTTAATTGAAAAAATTTAAATACTACGTGCTGCAGGACTTGTTTGGTCTGATATGCTAACTTAATGATAGTTTGGTTATGAGTGCTACACTAGTGGAACATTTCCAATACATGGAAGCGGTGTTCTGAAGGTTGTCCAAGCAAGGTGTATGTGTGAAGCGCAATAAATGTGTTTGCTTCTGCAACAGCCTCCAGCATCTTGGAAACATCATTAGTGCAGAAGGTGCGAAACCAACCACCGAGATGGAAGCACTGCTCAACGTGCCAGCATTGGGTGTGTGCACTCTTTCTGCTTTCAAGAAGAACCTGCTTTACCGATAGTCCACAAACAATATAAGCACAAATTATCTTTCTCACGTTTTCAAGTCCTTTTGACAACGGGAAAATTAAGGAGATTTTTACACACTACGTATGGTTAGAGTCTATACCCATGATGGTCCACTATATTGCAAAACACACAGCCCGTGGTTCTACTTTGAGTGTTGTGCTCAACTTCCCAAGAAAAGGCTGGCCCTCCTACGTTGAGCGGGGCAACCTCAATCCATTATCCCTCAAAGTATGCCTGGTTTATGGCATGGATATGGTGGTGTCACCAAAACTGCATCCAGTTGTCATTCCAGAGCTACACGACAGACACCCAGGCATTGTTTGAAGCGAGGAACAAGCCACAGTTACATCTGCTGGCCATCAGTTGGCAAAAACCTCGAAAGCCAGGTGAAAATATGTCAGGCCTGTCAGCAATAGTTGCTTTGCCTTCACAAGCTCCCTTGCACATCTCTAGAGGTGCAAGAAGTCGACATCCCATCCCTCTTTCTCTAGAAGTCGACATCCCATCCCTCAATAATGGCAGCTTCAGACAAGGATCCAACTAGTTGCATTCAACCGTGTTGAAAAGGACTGAACGAGTCTCCTACTCTGTGCAGGTCACCTAACCACACGAACTCCACATCTTGTGTCAGCACAGCCACTAGCTTCTTCCAGCAGCCGGCACAGTGAGAGGGGCTACACGAAACGCAATGGATAATGTGTCACCTGTGCTACCAGCCTTTGTGGGCAAGCCGGTTCCTGTAGCAGCCACAGCGCCTGACATGACGATAGGTACTGATGCGAAGGAAATGCCCCGACATGACAGTGCTGACGAGGGCACAGACAAGCTCCAAAGAGTTGCTACCGCAGTTCAACCGCAGTGCTACCCAAAGATGTCCCGGAAACCACCAGACAGATCCTTTGGACTATTTGTGTGCACTGATCTTATAAAATGCCCTGCCAGCCACTCTACAGTGCAGAAGCGTTTTCGTAGCCAGACAACAAAGGTGTTAGTCAAGCATAGCTCTTTTGAGACACTCACGTGCACCTAATGTTCTCTCCCTTTCCCAAAGTCTCTCGGGTGGCAGACATCATTTAGTCATTCTCAGTGTTGTGAAGCAAGCAGACATATAAGGCTCTATCCTTCACCAAGTTAATTTCAAGGCACACCTGGGCTAGGTCATCTTGCTTCACAGCCATAAATGTGTCGTCTGGCATCATCACCATTTCAAGAATGTGTTATGGAAAATGCAAGCTGGACTCCTTGTGCAGAAGCTCTTTGCACAGGATCACACCCCAGGTGAAAATTCAAAGTGGGACCACTTTAAAGTGGTATTTGGAACAGGTCCCACTTTGGAAGTGGGACCACTTTGAAAGTGGGACCACTTTGAAAGTGGGACCACTTTGGAAGTGGGACCACTTCCAAAGTGGTCCCACTTCCAAAGTGGGACCTGTTCCAAATACCACTTTAAAGTGGTTCCACTTTGAATTTGGACCTTTTTGCCTACTTACCATGAGCATTAGGCATCAATAAGGTACCTATGCACATTCTTGTGGCTAATTTTGACTACCTAAACAGAACATGTTATCGAGAGAATGATTGTGTCTTAAGACGAAGAATTGCAAGTCATAGATTTATTTCTCTGTTGAAGAGTGATCAGGAAGGGATGCACAAAGTTGTTTCGCTATCTGCGGAATCTCTCTAGTCGTGCATCAGGCCCATGCGCCTGAACCCCTTTCTTGTGTCCTGGATTTTTTCGGACAGAATGGTGTTCATGTTGGCAAAGGCACCGCTGACCTCAACATTCTTTGTCCGGCCCCAGTGTGTCAATGTTTCTGTGAAATAGATTCAAGAAAAAATATTTCAGCATAAAATTAGATCTATATGCGACCCACTTCATAACTCACTCACCAAGGATGAGGGACACCTTTTCTGGGGTTAGCTCCTTCCGAGCAGATGCACCCAGGTTTTTCCTGTCCTTGGGAGCAAGTTTCCCCCCATAGCTCCTCTCCACCAGAGTCTTTGACCCCCAAAGGATCTGAGCCGTGTCTTTCGCAAACTTTGCAGGCCTCGTGTTAGCGTATATGTGTTTCCTCTGCTCTTCGGAGATAGTTACCCCTCCCTTGAGGTGGAACTGCAAAATAGTTCAAATATGAATGTAAACATCTTGGAACATAGTCTGAAAGTGAAGCTGAAACTTACCCTGCCATTCTCCAAAGTGCTGAATGGTGTAGCACTTGAGGGTCCACCATAGTCTGCAACTGTACAGCAAACATGTGCACTTACAGCAATCCCAATCATTATATACAGAGAGTATGTAAAATTTCTAAAGGGAGTCTCCAGGTGTTAGATTATTTGACCCGATAAACAATATGTTACAGACATGAATTAGAACTGGAAATAAAGGGGCAATGTATTGGCCACAAACCTTTTGTGAAACAAAATACTAAAAAATTGAAAGGTGGAATTTTTCGTCATCCTGGGCATTTCGACAATCCTTTAGCTGCCTTTTGTATTGTCTTCCTAATGGCACATAGCTGTTTTAAGGTTGAAGCCTTCATTCCTAGCTTTCAGTGTCTAACCTTACCATCAGTTGACTGGGGTCGCCGCTGTCCACCCTTGTTACCAGAAAGCGGCCTCTTGGTGCCGGCTCCCACAGTAGCCTCTAAAAGATGATCAAACTTTCCTTAAACACGACTTGTTAAGCAATAAAAAAAGACGAGCTAAAAGACTGAACTCAAATCAACCACAAAACAGTCTGACAAAGCAACTATTGCTTACCCCTCGTGGGAGTTGCCAACAAGGTAGCAGCAGAGGTACTGGCTACCACAGTAAAATCTGAAACATTTAACAGTGTCTTTAGTCCTGCTTGATCTACATAAAAGTTTGTTTCCATAAGAGTTAGTTCAGAGAAGTAGCATCATTAATGATAGTGACACTTCTCTCCTTTGTTGTGGAATGTTCTGAAACATTCTAAAGTGTGAGAAATCAATCCTGGTAAGCAAACAAGGATTAAGACCGGGGTTAACTTGGTAGCAGATAAGTAAGAGAACAGGAACAAATATTAAATAAACAAGAGTATAAGAAGAGCTTAAGGAGCAAGGGAACAGACAAGGGTTGTTGCAATGCAGAAAAGAAAGAAAAAGTGTCAAGTGAATTTGGCAGAAGAAAAGGGAAGAGGACACAAGCATGGATAACAACTGGGACTTTAAGATTGCAAATATCTTGGTGCCCGATTTGTCATTCGAAGGAAGATTAAAAAGGTTAATAATAAAAGCCACATGAGCACGAATGCTCTCTCTGTGATACAATCTGAATGTATTTAATTGGCAAACCCTCATTGTAGCAAAAATTAGAACAGATCAAAAGTCGATTACTAATCATCATGAAATGAATCTTACGAGGAGTAATTGGCCTTTCCCTGGAAGGACCTTGAGCTGCTGGGTCGCAAGATGCAGTCATGTGATCTGGAAAATTTAGAGTTGTTTACAGTATGTTGTGCACAACTGTAAAACTACATCAAGAGAATAGCATAATAATGCAGTGATAAATAACATTTGTAAGTAACATAACACAGAAATTACAGCAGATATCAAGTTGATTCTCACTAGCCATAACCAAAAAATCATTGATGCAATTCGCGACTCCAGCGAAATCGACGCCGTGTAGCGGCAGTGCCGAGAAGCTCAGGAGAGGTGGTCGTTTCAACTCTGTCGTCTGCTATCGCTGCTTGGTTCTCGTAGGCAGCATAGAAACGAATATTGTTTCCAGTAATTATTTTTATGATTCCGCTGTGTCATTCTTACGCACTGACTAGAAGATTTCTACCGTCGAAAAATCGCTTTGCTTTCAAATGTAACACTGATTTTACGCTGCAGTGCATGATTTTGTGGTGGTCCGCGTGCTGAACGACGAAAACGACCTCCTTTCGTCCGCCCTTTTGCCTGAGCAGCGCGCCCTCTATAGTTTGCTGGAGTAGAGAATAAGCCTGACACATAACTATAGAAAGATGTAATATCTGTTCTATACATTTTAGTCACTAATAATTCTTTAGTGCATTTCTTGATATTCCCTACTATACCAAACATTTTTCCAATTCTTTCAGTTTAGGCCCTTAACAGAGGACATAACTATGCCCATCACGTTAAAAAAAATGCCAGTTTCGCAGTTTTTGTGGCACAAAAGGTTGTTCTCAAAAGATTTAATTGGCAGTAAAAAAAGTATGACTTTTAGTGTTTTTGGGACTATCCGGGACTATCCGTGACTATCCGTGACAAATGCTTTCAGGCCCTCACTGAACAGCTGGTTTTTTCTTCACCTCCATGTGACCAACCATCTCGTTCCATAAGAATAAATTAGTGCAAGTACCTCACTGGACAGCTTCAGGTATAGAACTCTATGTGCCATTTGTTTAGTCGGAGTCGCGAATGGGAAGATGTATACTGTCGGGGGAAAAATTCCCCGGGGTGCGCAAGCTGCGACTGAAGTGCATCCCTTGTTTAGACCAGAAAAGGGTGCATATGCGATCTATTGTGTTTATAGAAGAGTCTGCCCCTGCGTTGCTTTGTAATACAGTGCTTGCCTAGTCTGGTGCGAGGGGGCGCAACTGGAGGCAGCGCTTGCAGCTTTGCTGTGCGTGTCGCCCAAGCAGGAACTTCCGGCTTTAGAACCTCAGCTTCTAGCTCGGTTGACTCGCCAATGTGATGTGGCTTTATAGGTGCCATATCAGAAAGAGCAGCCCAATGATCGCTATATATATATTATAAAAAAAAAAAGCATTAAGTTTCCCTATTTGAAACCAACTCACTATTGGAGGTTGATATGTGCTGCAAAGCTGCAAGCATCACCTACAGTCACGGCATCCGTTGCAGATCACAGCAATCTCAGAATGGGCCCTTCGTGCCAGATTGTGGGGCAAGCATTGCCTCGCAGAAGGTTGGGAGAACACACATGCCTGCAAGCCCAGTAGGACATGCATGCATTATTCTGTGGTCTCAAAGTCAGGCGAGCCACTGGCAGATGGTGCAGGAATTCCCTTCAGTCGCTGCTTGCGCTTCCCAAGGATTTTTGTCCCCAATAGTACTTCCATACAAGATCAAAGTTACTCACCATGGCTGGGTTCAAGGTCGCAGGGTCGCTGAGCTTGTCCCTCAAGAATCTGGAGCACTAAAATGCAATTAAAAAAAAAAGCTTTTTATATTCAATTTATGAATACCTCTGCTATGCTCTCTACCCTTTAAAGGAATACTGAACAGAAATTTATATTTCGCAAAATAAGGCCGTAGAAGCGTTGAACAGGATGCTGTGAACTGCAAAACATCCCACATACATCAATATCTCAAACGGATGGCCATACTTTTGGAAAAGAAGGGTGCAATCAAGCGATGTCTTTGACGTCATTGTCCTCTGGAAGAATTTGAAAATGAGGAGAGAAGCGGCCTCGCTTCTCTCTTCCTCACTGCGGTTCACCAGCTGAATGGGACGTAGCAAGGAGGAGAAGATATGGGAACCGTGACGTGACTAGTCACGTTGGTCATGTTCAATTGTGCACTTCGTTTCCAAAAATTATGGCGATCCCTTAGAGATATTGCTGTACGAGTGATGTTTTTGGGTTTTGCAGCGTCCCACCTACCTGTCCAGCCTTGTTTGCAAGCTCCAAATTTTGGTTCAGTATCCCTTTAACTTAAAGTGCTCTAATGAAAGTTGACTACAAAGAGAAAACTTTGGGTAACTATTATGTTCACACATGCAGCAAGGCAAGGGCTTGGAAGACCTATAAAAAATAAAAAGTGACAGAAATGTGGCACGTAATGCAAAGTGCACAATGAATTCACACACCGAAATATAACATTAAATAATACTTACTTGCACAAAGTTTACCATCAACGGTGCTTTGCAGCGATTCAATTATGTTGTAGAGCTTTTCATTCTCTCGGCACTTTTCCTGATATAGCTGGCGCCAGTGGCTTACATCCTTCTTCTTCAGCTCAAGCTGCGATGATGGCATAGCTATTATGCTGTCGTCTGTGTCACTGTCTGACGTAGGGGTATCCTGTTGCATCTTCTTCTGTACCAAAAATTATTAAAATATATAGCAATATGATGGCACCACTCAAAGAAAAAAAATCTTGTATGTACAAGCATTTCATGGCACTTACCGGAGCTTGAAGGTGGCTAGCAGCCTCAGCATTTTTCCTTTTGGAGCTCTGGAGTTGTTCCTTTAAGATGTCAGCATATGCACGACTTCGGCCAGCCTGCTTATTTTCTTTTTGGACCTTCTTTTCCTGGAGTTGTAAACAAGTGCACAAATCAATTTGGGCTGGCTTAGTTTTCATGTTTTCCTTCCTCGCAGAACCCCGTTTTTTTTACAAATTCTGTCAGCATGAGTTGAAAAATACACATGGGTAGAAAATTTACTTAAAATTAATATGAAGGGTGAGACTATTTTGCGGCAGCCGGCAAATTAGCCCGGGGAAAAAAATGCCGGCAGTTTCGGACGGCGCGTGTATCACTGGGGAGCTCGTTAACACATCCCCCCGCCTGCGTTCACGCCGCTTCGCGGCGATGGTCTGCGGCTGCTCATTACAAAAATATTGACCCAATTGGCTGACCAGTACACGCCGCTTCGCGACGGCCCACCGGCGGCCCAAGCCCCGCTGTCTTCCATTCACCCACGGGAAGGGAGTCCACAGCAAAGTTTTGTCGAGAACATTCATTTTATTTATTTACTTTTTTTTTTTTCAGTGTTAATCCTGAAAAAGAAGATATGTCCTAAATATCGCCAAATGCCTCGCAAAACAAAACAAACTTTCAAAAAAAAAAAAGAGGACACGGATGATTGAACTAGGGTCCTATGAGACAAGCACCTTACCACTGAGCTACTCATGGGGCACAACTGCCGGCACTTTTTTTCCCCGGGCTATTGTGCCGGCTGCCGGCAGAATATCCACTTCCTAATAGGAACTCTCGAAATTATACTCCCTGCCCTGAAAATGCTGTGCAAACAAGCAAAAACACGTGTGCCAGTTGCCCTGATAGTCAAGTTCGCCTGTTGAACTTATAGTGAAGTTCGAGCAACACACCTGCTTATCCCTTCGTGCTCCTGCCTGCGAGGGCGCAACATCGTCGACCTCCTCTTCAGCCTCGTATTCTGAGGCGTAGACCTTCGTCTTGCGGATTCGCTTTGACGCTCTTTTCTTCTCCAGGTTTTCTTCGGTGTCTACAAAACATCGTGGAGAATAGCTGTTAGTGTCTGTCGACAAATCTTTCGACTGTCATAATTTTGAACGGGAACTGGCCGTAGTACATACCTGCCATCATCAATATCTGGGCCGAGTAGAACCCGGTACTTTCTTTCTCAGGGTCATCCCAGAAAGCTTGGTATATAGCCTTCGCATCAAAATCCTCGTCGTCGGACGGCTCAAAATCTTTTATGTACCGAGTCGGCACAACGTACAGCTTGTTGCCGACCTCGTTCGGAAATCGGACGAGCGCAAACATTCCAAAGTTCTTAAACTCTTGACCAACTTACAAGCGAAGTAACCGCAGCGTGCGTAGACGGACGTTAGGCCTAGGTTCCAAACAGCGCGCTGTGGCTAGCTTTGGCTTGTCTTGGATTGCGCTTTGGATTTTGTAGTTTAGTGGGATGTGTGAAAATAAAAGCTAAAAACAAATGTGCTGGTTTAAAAAAATTAAAATTTTTTAAATTAACAAAATGTTACATGATATAGGTTCAAAACAAACATGTCTATATACTGCTTAATACGTTTATTTGCAGATGTTGTTGGATGGGAAATGGTCCGGTTTAACCCGCAGTCAACAAAAGCCATCCATCCAGAAGCCATTAACCGTCTCAAGTCAATAGCGCTCGTTGGTCACGCTCACGTTTCTGAATCTCACAGGTGTTTTGGTTTGCTGTGACTTTCGTTCAGCAACTTACTTTCGTCCTTCAAGAGCAAGGTGAAAGAGATGCTTTCTGCCAACAAGCACAAGACTCGGAAGCGATATCGGCAATATTTAGAGCCGGATGCTGCGCCGTATGTTCGTGTGCCTAGGTCGACAGCACATAGGCTAAACTTCGTAAGCACACCAACTCCTACCTCTTGTGCAAGCTCCTCTGCATCGTCTCCTTGCTCCACAACTCAACCACGTCAACCCCTGGTCGAAATGGAAGACTGCACAAGTGATGCAGACGAACATCTGCGCACTGAAGACGAATCTGACACAGCCGAGAACGAAAGTCCTCGGGGCTCCGACCATGATCGGCCGTTCGTTGAGTTCGTGACGCCACTGGGAAACGGCACTTCGATGACTGTTGGCGACGCTCTCGTCCTGATCATGGATTATGCCATTGGGGAAGGACTTCCATGGACTGGCATAGAAAAGCTTCTTAAGCTACAAAACCTACTGTTGGGAACCAACAGCATCCCCGAAAGCAAATATCTGTTCAGAAAGTTTGCGAGTGCTTCACCAGACGACGTCACTTTCAACTTTTACTGCCCGACGTGTGAAACACTCCTTGCAAAGACAGCGGGCAGCTTGAAGGAAAGGCAGGGCATCTCGCCTACCTGCTCGGTGTGCGGAGTGCAGTACCTCGGAAAGGACCTTATGTCCAAGGGATGCTATTTTGTTGGTCTGCCAATGGAGAAGCAACTAGCATCGGTGCTGGCCGATGAAACTGTGCGGGAGCACCTAGCAGAATCTCTGGCGAAACTCAATACACCGAGACCCTCTGCCAAGTTGGATCTAACCGACGGCGACTCTTATCGAAGTCAGCGCGCAAAGCTTGGGTGTGGGCCTCATGACTTGACCGTGTCCATGAACGCCGATGGGAGCCCCATATTCAAGTCGGCAAACTACGCCATCTGGCCCGTCCAGCTCACACTGAACGAACTTCCACCATGTCTGCGCTGGCGCTCCGTCGTCCTGCCGCTGTTATGGTACGGCGCGAAGCACCCGAACATGACTTTGCTTCTCCAAGCCTTTGCGGCCCAAATGAAAACGCTAGCCCAAGAAGGCATCACGTGGAGCGCTGGGGGCTCAACACTAAACTCTAAGGTGAGTTTCCCCGCTTGAGGTGAACGCCCTGTATGCACTGAAATGTTGAAGCCATTTACGTGTACTATTCTGGACTCTGTTAACTGTAACACGCCAGCGGGCATTGTCCTTAGAGTAACTGTATAGACTCTGCTTGCAGAGTTAGAGTATCGTGTTCCTTTTTCTTGCGCCGTCAACTCCGCATTGCAATGAAGCGGTCAGGTGCTCTGAGCGAGACCCAATCTTTTTGAGGTAACGCTACTTTTCAGGCGCCAAGTTTCAAACAGAGTATGTTTCTCGCTTGGCGTTTGCGAAATATACATCCTACACTAACATAAAATAATCTGGAATGTTCCTTAACCATTTAACATTATTGTAGCCACTGCATATATAGTGTAATCGCGTTGCTTTATAATGTAAGCGATGTTTGAAAACATGGTTTTAAAGACTGGGAAGCAGATGACACGGGAAACGATTGTTACGCGACCGGCACATCCGGGCCATTTTGGACTAGACAACAATGCGCAGGTATGGCTCGCGATGGGATGTTCGACTACTATGTTCCATTGGTGGCATAGAGAGAAACAGCAGACAAATGACAGTGCACGCATGGCGTGTCGCAGCACTATTTTCTTTTTTTTTTTGCGTTAGTTTCAACGTGGTGGCGCTAATGTGCAAATAGCCCCAGAGCCGTGTATTGGGAGAGTTTGGCCATTTATTGGTCAAACTCTCCCAAGCATCTCGTGGCCAACCACGGGTCGCAAAACAGCCCCTAGCGGTGGTCATGAGCTCTAAAAATGCGACTACACTAATTTAAGCCGTTTTAGTGTTGCTAGAGTAAAAAGGTGTAACTCCTAGTGACTGAAAGCTTCGTGCATATGAGGTTTTCGTCACGTCCAAATTCAACGGTAGAATAAACGAACGTGCACTCCAAACCAGAGAAAGTGCATAGTTGCGATCATTGCTGCTGCAAGGTTGAACGCTTTAAATGTTGTTTCCAATACTGTGACATTGAGGTCTGCTGATTGGTAGACGCTGTGTCACACTTTTAGTTTACGCTCTAGCTGCAGGGGGAATATTCGGCATTGGCAGCGGCCTTTGCTCCTCCCATTGGCCAAACTTTCCCAATATACTGTTCTGAATAGCCCTTAACACTTCCGGTTCCCAACTACAATACGGGATTCGCAGTATTTGTGAGATTAAATCTATGGGCTACTTTCGGAACACGGTTGAGAATCTGCCATATGACACATGCGCTTTGAGTTTCGGATGGCGCCTGCTATGCCGTGCTGGGCGTATGGGACGGCCGCCGCCTATGTGTTATAGCTAATAGAGTCCACGCTAGTATGTGCACATGGTTTCCGGGGCTCCAGTTAAAGCAGCCATTTACATGCATGCATGTAGCTCCTATACTCTATTTCACCTTATGACGTACCACAAGAAAGGCTACGGGCGCGAGCTCTCTGCTCTAGGGCACATCTCGGCAGCACATCCTCTCGTGCATTAAGGGCAGCTGCCAACGTTATGAGCTCGCGCTTCTAGCCTTCGCTGCGGTACAACATAGGGTGAAATGGAGTATAGGTAACTGCTAGTATTTTTCATAGGTGCACCATACTGCTCTTGCTTATCATTCTATACTGACTAGTGTTCATGTAGTCTGTAGTCTAATGACCACACTGTAGTCTAATGACTAGTTCTTGCAGCACACCGCTAGCTATAGCAAAACTCTGTTGCAACTTATTGAATTGTGTAGATTGTGGTTAAAAGTGGTATTAATAGAATGTTTCTTTCCAGGTCTACTGTGTCAGCTGTGTGGCCGATGCCCCTGCAAGGGCCGCGATGCAGAACGTCATGCAATACAACGGCTATTACGGGTGCTCTTGGTGCCTCCATCCTGGGGTTTGCATTAACGGTAAGGAAACAGAATATGATCGTCCAGTTTTTAAGTTATTTATTGGGATGTGTGAATATTTTAAACTCTTGAACTTTTAACTTTCGTGAAAGAATTACGACAGGGACAAGTACTGCTTTCGGCAAAGGTGTTCAGCATTACTACTGGACTGTTATTCCTGCAATGCAAATTTTCAGTCAAAGGCACCTAAACTTCAACATCATGTAGATCCAGCATCGGTCTCGGCAAGAAAAAGTGGGGTGGAGGTGACATCAGTCCCCGCTTCCGCCCACGTTCACACTTTTAGAGCACAGCTCTTAGGTGCCCGTTTCCGGCTTGAGCGGCGTCGCCGTCGGCGTAACTGTGAGGTCACGCAACTTTCCCCTGAGGTAACGTGACCCCTCCCCCGAGGTCACGTGACCTCACGTGGCCCCCTTCACGGAGTAGCAGGCAGGATGACAAGGTGAGGAGGGGGGAGGAGGGATGTACCTTCCCTACTCCTCCTCAAGAGCTGCACTCTAATTCGGCGTTACAGGGAGTTGTAAACGGCTTTCTTTTTTTTTTTACAAGGTATCTACCAACCTGAAATTGTCACGGAATTTTAATCATCTGAAAACTATGGGGATACTCAAACCAAGGATACTCAAAAAATTTGCTATATCAGGGGGAAATTACCAGTGAAAATGGCACGATGATACGCAACAAAGCTCAGCGGTCGCTCATTCGCACGGCTACACTAATAAATGTTGCCTGAAACATCACTAGGGAGCTATACCTCCATCTTCTAGCAAGCACAAGCATACTATAACAATTATTAAAGAAGTAATTTAATAGATGCCACTTTGTAGGGTGTGAATAGTGAAACACTATGATTGCTGATAGAAGGATGTTTTTAGCTATCGCACATTATTTGGTGTTTGCACGTTACAATAACAGGCTCCGAAACAGGGGGGGTCGGGCGGGGCGGGGCGGGCAGTCGCCCCCATGCTCAAAGCAGGTCCAACCCCCCCCCCCCCCCCCCTTCTCCCCTCCCATCACCGTGCATATATATATATATCTGTGTGTGTGGAAAAACAGAGGTGAACTACACAATGCGACATGAGCCCCCATACGTCTCCCCCACTTATCAGATATACTTCCGGAGCCCCTGTACGATACTCTGTTATTGCGAATGAAGGTGGGACCAATGCCGCCTTTTTTTCATGCAGTGACAAAGGCTGGGTACGCTTCATGCCTTCGGTGTCCCCTTAGAAACTTCTTTTAATATCAAGGAGTGTTATCACCAGCATTAGCAACCTCCTCTTAGAACATCGGTTAAACAATTGACTCCACGCTGCTTGCAATGAGTGCACCGAAACCCAGGCTGGAATGACAGAGTTGCTCAAATTTGGGGAAACAAGTTCATTTTCTCACAATCATTGCCGGTTATCTTTCTATTAGGCAAGCATGTCTAGGCAGGTTGTGCAAGACAGAACATCTCTGCAGTGCAGTCTTGAAGTTTTTAGTTTGATTTTTTTAGGTTTTGTATTTCCCCTTGCAAAAAGTCTGCTTTGCTTCAACATTATTTAGATTTAAAATTTGCACAACATAATTATTTGCTTCATATTTGCTTTAATATTAAGAATCGCTGCTCACACGTTCGTAGTTATTTATCATTTTCTTGACTGTCACTT